GATTTCCTTCGAACCCTAGCTCTGTCTCTGTCTCTCTCTTTGTATGTGTTCGGATTCAAATCTATGCAATATAATCATGACTAATAAGTGATCTATCTTCACTCTAAATCTGAATTCGAACAAATCTGAAGGAAGACAATCCATTGAGAGTGACAATCACCTCCCTAGAGAGGCTCACGGTGGCGAAGGGCGATGGAAACCTAGCTTTCGAGTTGGTAGTGTCGAAATCTAAGGAAAGACAATCAACACCTACTGGCCTCCGTCGTGACAACCTCGATCAAACCTAGCTTTCGACAGCCTTGATCAACGTCGGAGAAGACAAGAAGATGAAGATCAAGCCTAGAAGATGAAGATGAAGATCTTGGCCTCCGTTATCGTCCCTCATCGCGATCGGCTGTGCGAGGCGATCTCAAACCCTAGCGCCGCTGTGACTACCAGAGTTAGGGTTTCAGTGTTCATTTTTTTTTGGTTGAGGTTTTCAGTGTTTTTTTAATCAAAAAAATAATATTAATAATTAAGCATTTTAGCCATTAATAAAATAAATTTTATATTAATTGATACTACTTAATAATTTATAATGAAAACAAACATATTAGTTGATACCTAATTCATTTGTAATGAAAAAATGAAAAAAATTGACACCTAGTTCATTTGTAATGAAAAAAATTATATTGATTGATACTATTATTAATTTTAGTATTAATTGATGGTAATTAAGCCATTAATTGACACCTAATTCATTCATAATGAAAAAATGAAAAAAAATTAAACTAATTGATACTATTATTACTGTTAGTATTAATTGATGGTAATTAAGCCATTAATTGGCACCTAATTCATTCATAATGAAAAAATGAAAAAAAAAATATACTAATTGATACTATTATTAATTTTAGTATTAATTGATGGTAATTAAGCCATTAATTGACACCTAATTCATTCGTAATGAAAAAATGAAAAAAATTAAACTAACTGATACTATTATTAATTTTAGTATTAATTGATGGTAATCAAGCCATTAATTGACACCTAATTCATTTATAATGAAAAAATGAAAAAAAATTATACTAATTGATAATATTAATAATTTTAGTATTAATTGATGGTAATTAAGCCATTAATTGGCACCTAATTCATTTATAATGAAAAAATGAAAAAATTTATACTAATTGATACTATTATTAATTTTAGTATTAATTGATGCTAATTATGTTAACTTTTGTAACACTAATTATATTAACTTTTATTAATGAAATAATTTTTTTAAAATTAAAACTGAAAAAATGACAAAATAATCATTTTTATATCATATAAGGGTAAAATGGACAATTACACAGTAAAAAATTATTTTACAGCTTATTAACCAAACACTACTTGGCTGTTTAAATCTATAATCTCACAGTTGCACCAAATAGGTTAACAGCTTATGTTCACAGCTATAAGCCATAATCTGTTAAGTTATAATCTATAATCACTTTTCCACAGTTCTACCAAACGGGACCGTTGTAATGTTAGAAGCCACAAAAGTGAGAGAAAATAACTTTAAGTGTGTTTGGTTACTATTTTTTGAATTCAGTTTTTTAAAAATTAAGGTTCTGTTTGGTAGAGCTTTCTAACTTTAATTCCATCCCTTGGTTTGAGTGTGGTGTTTGGTTACAGTTTTTAAAAATTGATTCCACACCCACTTTTGCAAACACGTCTACCCAGTTATTCTTCCGAACGTCCCCCTGGTCGGTTGACCAGACCAGTGTTCGGTTCTTTTTTTTTGGCACCTGTTATTTTTATATTTTAAATAAAAAATATTTTCAAAATTTTTTGTTTTAAATTTTTTATGAGCTTTGAATAGAATTTTGGGTTGTGTGTTTGGTTATAAGTTGTAAGTTTATGAATCAAATATCATATGTCACATCAAAAATTTCAAACTCAATTCAATTTTTTTTTTCAAAACTTATAACCAAACAAAATTTTCACACTCAAATCATAATTCCAAAACTCACAAACGCAAAATACAACTTTATTCTCAAATAATAATTCTAAAACTCTACCAAACGCTACCGAAGTTTTTTATTTTTTGTATTTTTTTATTTTTAATGAATATTTTTAAAAATTTTAAGTATTTTTTTACAGATACACCTTACTTAGATGTATCTAAAAAATAAAATATTTATAAAAAATTATTTCAAAAAATTAATAAATATACAAAAATACAAAAAATATATTGAATTTTTATGTTTTTTATATTTTTGGTATTTAGTGAATTTTTTAATGATTTTTTTTACAAAAATTATATTTTTTTAAGTATATTTATGTTAAGTTTGTCTAAAAATTAAAAAAAAATTACTTAAAATATTAAAAAAATCAATTAAAACAAAAAAATACGAAAAATACCAAAGGCTGAACAAAGACATGAATCAGAGGATATAGTGAAGGTTTTAGTTTCCATTGAAAATATAAAGCTTCATCACTTGACACAAGTGCTTGAGAGTCAGATTCAGAATGCATAAAAACCATATTCACCAATCTATTTACAAACAATCATAGCAAATACTAAGAAAGTGCCCAAAATCCCAACACCAAAACATTATATCATGCTCAAACCAGAGCAACTGTGATAAATACAACCAAAGCAAAAATAATGTTACAGCAGAAAATTTGACAATAAATGTAACTGCAACATTCATAGCACCTATAACAATAGCCAAAATTTTGCACACAGAATAACCCTAGACCAAATGGAGAATTATAACTTTAGCTCAAATGAAAAAATTGGAGGATCAAGCCGAGGCTGCAACTAAAGTTCAAACTTTAGCTCTTGAGAAGGCCGAAGCTGCTGAGGCCGTTAGAAAATTTGCTGAGGCCGAGAAAAGAGAGGCCGAGGTTCAGAAGGCCCAAGCGGAGAAAGAACTACAGCAAGCTCTGGCCACCAAAGAGGCCGAAATTAGAGAGACCGATGAAAAGGCCTATGCTCAAGGTATGGCCGACGTCGCAGAAGACTACAAGCTTCAAGTCAGGCAGGCATGCAACAGGGGATTTTCCCTTGGTTGGATGTCCTTGATAAAGAAGCTTGATCTCCCTGTTGACTCGTCCCTTCGGAATGCTGATGCCATCCCTTTGCCATTTCCTCCACCTCCACCTGAAGGTAGAGTCTGAGGCCGAGGCCGTGGATGAAGATGAAGAAAAAGATGATGGTGAGGCCTTGGTGACAAAACCCAAGAATGCTGCCGAAGCCAAGTCCCCTCCTCCTGCTGAGCAGGTTATGGACTTAACTCAAGATGAGGGGGGTGATGATGCTGAGGAACTGCCCAGGGAGTCTGTTCAAGGGTATCTATCATCTGACCTCCTTCTGACTGAAAGAAGTCTTGACACAACATTGGCAGAGATAGATGCTGTGTAACACTAATTATATTAACTTTTATTAATGAAATAATTTTTTTAAAATTAAAACTGAAAAAATGACAAAATAATCATTTTTATATCATATAAGGGTAAAATGGACAATTACACAGTAAAAAATTATTTTACAGCTTATTAACCAAACACTACTTGGTTGTTTAAATATATAATCTCACAGTTGCACCCAATAGGTTAACAGCTTATGTTCACAGCTATAAGCCATAATCTGTTAAGTTATAATCTATAATCACTTTCCCACAGCTCTACCAAACGAGACCGTTGTAATGTCAGAAGCCACAAAGGTGAGAGAAAATAACTTTAAGTGTGTTTGGTTACTATTTTTTGAATTCAGTTTTTTAAAAATTAAGGTTCTGTTTGATAGAGCTTTCTAACTTTAATTCCATCCCTTGGTTTGAGTGTGGTGTTTGGTTACGGTTTTTAAAAATTGATTCCACACCCACTTTTGCAAACACGTCTACCCAGTTATTCTTCCGAATGTCCCCCTGGTCGGTTGACCAGACCAGTGTTTGTTTCTTTTTTTTTTTTTGGCACCTGTTATTTTTATATTTTAAATAAAAAATATTTTCAAAATTTTTTGTTTTAAATTTTGTTATGAGCTTTGAATAGAATTTTGGGTTGTGTGTTTGGTTATAAATTGTAAGTTTATGAATTAAATATCATGTCACATCAAAAATTTTAAACTCAATTCAAAATTTTTTTCAAAACTCATAACCAAACAAATTTTTCACACTCAAATCATAATTCTAAAACTCACAAATGCAAAATACAACTTTATTCTCAAATAATAATTCTAAAACTCTACCAAACGCTACCGAAGTTTTTTATTTTTTGTATTTTTTTATTTTTAATGAATATTTTTAAAAATTTTAAGTATTTTTTTACAGATACACCTTACTTAGATGTATCTAAAAAATAAATATTTATGAAAAATTATTTCAAAAAATTAATAAATACACAAAAATACAAAAAATATATTATTTTTTATGTTTTTTTATATTTTTAGTATTTAGTAAATTTTTTAAAGATTTTTTTTTATAAAAATTATACTTTTTAAGTATATTTACGTTAGGTGTGTCTAAAAATTAAAAAAAAATTACTTAAAATATTAAAAAAATCAATTAAAACAAAAACATACGAAAAATACCAAAGGCTGAACAAAGACATGAATCAGAGGATATATAGTGAAGGTTTTAGTTTCCATTGAAAATATAAAGCTTCATCACTTTACACGAGTGCTTGAGAGTCGGATTCAGAATGCATAAAAACCATATTCACCATTCTATTTACAAACAATCATAGCAAATACTAAGAAAGTGCCCAAAATCCCAACACCAAAACATTATATCATGCTCAAACCAGAGCAATTGTGATCAATACAACCAAAGCAAAAGTAATGTCACGGAAGAAAAATTGACGATTAATGTAACTGCAACATTCATAACACCTATAACAATCGCCAAAATTTTGCACACAGAATAACCCTAGACCAAATGGAGAATTATAAAGAGTATATCATGGAGTCGTCTGTAGAAACACAGCACTGTTTCTACTTAACCTTCTTTTGTTGTTCCCCTACTTACGTTTCCTTTCAATCTCTAGGTTGGCTTTCATTTTCGTCACCCAAGAGACAAAATGTCACGACATTAACTGTTACTTCCTTTCTAAACTCAACCCGACAGGTCTTTGTGCCCTTTTGCATCAATAATAATTTTGTCCAAGTGCTGTACTGCTTCTCTAAAGGCAACGAAGAAGAAAAGCTGAATTCCATCTTTGTCATAACTTGACCAGTCTTTAAAAAATATTCTACCAGGTCGAATTCATCTCCCTCCCCATTGAATTCCTCAAAGAAAATGTCGCGAATACGTGATGATACACAAGTAGGCACACAATGTTGCAGAGAGTTCTGAAATTTTGCATAGCACCCTGTATACTCAGAAAACCCCTATTGCAAAAATAAATCATAAGTTAATAGAGTGGTGAAAAAACTAGTATGACAAAACAATTACTGTACTAAAATTTTACAGTACCTCCATGAAGGCAAGGATTTCAAGATTAGGTGCACTTTCAAGCAAGTGCGGCAACAATGCCCATCCATGACCGTTGATATCACCGAGAAACAATTCTGTCAAATTGTAAAAAGTAGGCTCCGAGATTACCTCGGCTTAACTACCAGGGCACGTGGCACCTCGGCTGACACGTCGGCGTCACCATGCCACGTGTTGGTATTCAGAAAACATATCCCCACAAAAGTATATCATGGAGTCGTCTGTAGAAACACAACACTGTTTCTACTTAACCTTCTTTTGTTGTTCCCCTACTTACGTTTCCTTTCAATCTCTAGGTTGGCTTTCATTTTCGTCACCCAAGAGACAAAATGTCACGACATTAACTGTTACTTCCTTTCTAAACTCAACCCGACAGGTCTTTGTGCCCTTTTGCATCAATAATAATTTTGTCCAAGTGCTGTACTGCTTCTCTAAAGGCAACGAAGAAGAAAAGCTGAATTCCATCTTTGTCATAACTTGACCAGTCTTTAAAAAATATTCTACCAGGTCGAATTCATCTCCCTCCCCATTGAATTCCTCAAAGAAAATGTCGCGAATACGTGATGATACACAAGTAGGCACACAATGTTGCAGAGAGTTCTGAAATTTTGCATAGCACCCTGTATACTCAGAAAACCCCTATTGCAAAAATAAATCATAAGTTAATAGAGTGGTGAAAAAACTAGTATGACAAAACAATTACTGTACTAAAATTTTACAGTACCTCCATGAAGGCAAGGATTTCAAGATTAGGTGCACTTTCAAGCAAGTGCGGCAACAATGCCCATCCATGACCGTTGATATCACCGAGAAACAATTCTGTCAAATTGTAAAAAGTAGGCACTCGAAGATGAGCACAACTAATAGCCTGTATGCAAAATAAAAACAATCACAATTCGATTCTAAAAATTCCAAGATTATACCCATGTTAAGTATTCGTAAGGGAAGTTGTCGAGATTAAATTTCAATAGGACTAGTTTTAAAGTAAAGAAAACTCACCGAAACTGAAGAATTTGATAAATACATAAAACCAACATTAGAGCATGCTGCAACAAGCTTGGACACATTTTGACCATACTGCGATGTTTCGTCTTCTTCCTCCTCCTCCAGTTGTTCCTCACTAGGTCCAATGTCTATATGAGCTTTAAGAAGAGAGCTGAAATTAATCAATGGATAGTATATGGGTGCATAATCATTGTAGAAGATTGTTTCAAGTGCTGGGTATCCATCACAACCTCACACTCATTGTGGTAGCAATTGTGCACTAATAAAAACCTAATCGTACTCGAAGAGATACAAAGAACTTCAATCTCCTGAAATTCAACACCATCCAAAGACAATTCTTCAAGAGCAGGGCATCCATCAACAACCCTCTCGAACGATTCTCCATCGACAAATCCAACATAATCCAAATAAAGGCGCTTAAGTTTCGGCAAACAAACCGAATCCGGAACACTCAAACCATAGTGCTGGCTCAACAACAAATCCACAAGCGTTGTGGAGTCAAAAAGACCAGGAATTGACACACCCGTGTTCTTCACATTGAAGAACAACGAAAGCCCAGTTACATTTCGCTTTAAAGCAATAGATACCCATTCATCAATGTTGGAATTGCCATAGTCGTGATGACACTGGAGATGGAGTTTGTGAATGGTTGGGACGTCGATGAGAGTGACTGTGAACAAATGGTTCATGAAATTGATGAAAATGGAATTGGTGGTGTTGTTGTGGGGATTCAAGAGCAGAGAATCGTCGATGTCGAGGGTGGGATTGGGGATTGAAGCAAAGAGGTTGTTCCATTTGGTGGATAATATGGCTGTGCCGGCGGCGAATTTGGTGGGGAGTTTGGAGAGGATGTGACAGAGAATCGATTCTGGCAAATTGCTAATTCTGTCTTCGCCATTGTTATCGACATTGGCTAGGGTTTCATGGCGAGTTGGAGATGGAGGGTTGTGGATTCGTTTTGGGGATGGTTTTTGATGGGGGAATATATATATATATATATATATATATATGAGCAACTTATTTACTCTAATAGAAAAGTATTTTATTTTATCTATTTTAAGCCTAAAGTTTATCCATGGTAATTGTGCTCTGAGTATAATATTCTTAGTCTGCCATGTGCTTATAGTTGTTTATCAATTTTCAAGAAACAATGCAATTCAAAAATAAATTTTGGAGAGTCTTAGACGCGGGGTTGCGAAATAGATACACATAACACTTTTTTAGTATTTATAATTATATTATTCATATATAAATATTAGAGGGTTTGATTTGGGGTTTTGATGAGAGAAAAGATGGGTTGTGTGAAGTCCGTGGAGGAGATTGGGGGGTAGATATCCATTGGGGTGAGGGGGTCAATCGCATTAATGATGAATTAATTAGACATATTCGGGTAATGTGAAATAAATTATTTTTTTTACTTATTATGAAAAAGACGTTATTTTTTTTTTGGGGTCTTAAAATGATGATTTTTTATTTTATTTTTTTATTATTTTAAAATATTAGTTTTTTAAAAAAATTAAGAAATTAAATAATATAAATTTACTATTTTATCCTTATTTTAAATTCATTAATAATATAAAAAGTACAATTGATATTCTTAAATAAATATATTATCAAAGGGTAATTTTAAAAAATTAATATTTTTAAAATGCAATAATTGTACTTATCAAAAAAAATTAGTAATTTTTTCAAAATTGACTATTATTTCGGAATGGATGGAGTATAAAAATAAAGAGATAAATATGATTCAAATAAGTTAAAAAAATCAATAAATTGACTTATAAATCACTTCTCAAAAGAAACTATTGCGTGTAATGAAATCAATTTTAAAATATTTACACTGAAAATAATTAGCTATTACACATCATTTTGAGGTTCATCTCGAAATTTCAAAAGATTTACACTAAAAAGGTGTGGTGTGTGTGCAAAAATTTGTGATCTTTAATTTGGCTTATTAATTGATTTTTTAAATTAAAAAAAAGAAGAAGAGAAGTTACTATATATATATATATATATATTTTAATGATGAATTAATTAGGGTCTATTTAGGAAGTGTGAAATAAATTGATTTTATACTTATTATGGAAAAGACGTTTTTTTTTCTTCTTAAAATGCTAATTTTCTATTTTATTTATTTATTTTTTTAAAATATTAGTTTTTTAAAAAATTAAGAAATTAAATAATATAATTTTACTATTTTATCTTTATTTTAAATTCCTTAATAATATAAAATGTACAATTGATATACTTAAATAAATATATTATCAAAGGGTAATTTTAAAAAATTAATATTTTTATAATGCAATAATTGTACTATAAAAAAAAAGTTAGTAAAATTTTGAAAATGGACTATTATTTCGGAATTGATGGAGTATAAAAAGTAAAGAGGTAAATACGATTCAAATAAGTTAAAAAAATCAATAAATTGACTTATAAATCACTTCTCAAAAGAAATTGTTGCGTGTAATGCAATCAATTTTAAAATATTTACACTGAAAATAATTGGTTATTACACGTCATTTTGAGGCTCATCTTGAATATTTCAAAAGATTTACACTAAAAAGGTGGTTTGTATGTGCAAAAATTTGTGATGTTTAATTTGGCTTATTTTTGATTTTTTAAATTAAAAAAAAAAGAAGAGAAGTTATTGTGTATATATATATATATATTTTAATGATGAATTAATTAGGGCCTATTTGGGTAGTGTGAAATAAATTGATTTTTTACTTATTATGGAAAAGACGTTTTTTTTTTCTTCTTAAAATGCTAATTTTTTATTTTATTTTTTTGTTATTTTAAAATATTAGTTTTTTGAAAAAATTAAGAAATTAAATAATATAATTTTACTATTTTATCCTTATTTTAAATTCATTAATAATATAAAAAGTACAATTGATATTCTTAAAAAAATATATTATCAAGGGGTAATTTTAAAAAATTAATATTTTTAAAATGCAATAATTGTACTATAAAAAAAAGTTAGTAAATTTTTCAAAATGGACTATTATTTCGGAATGGATGGAGTATAAAATGTAAAGAGGTAAATATGATTCAAATAAGTTAAAAAAATCAATAAATTGACTTATAAATCACTTCTCAAAAGAAATTGTTGCGTGTAATGCAATCAATTTTAAAATATTTACACTGAAAATAATTAGCTATTACACGTCATTTTGAGGCTCACCTCGAATATTTCAAAAGATTTACACTAAAAAGATGGTGTGTGTGTGCAAAAATTTGTGATGTTTAATTTGGCTTATTATTTGATTTTTTAACTTAAAAAAAAGAAGAAGAGAAGTTACTATATATATATATATATATTTTAATGATGAATTAATTAGGGCCTATTTGGGAAGTGTGAAATAAATTGATTTTTTTACTTATTATGGAAAAGACGTTTTTTTTTTCTTCTTAAAATGCTAATTTTTTATTTTATTTTTTTTTATTTTAAAATATTAGTTTTTTAAAAAAATTAAGAAATTAAATAATATAAATTTATTATTTTATCCTTATTTTAAATTCATTAATAATAAGAAAAGTACAATTGATATTTTTAAATAAATAAATTATCAAAGAGTAATTTTAAAAAATTAATATTTTTAAAATGCAACAATTGTACTATCAAAAAAAAGTTAGTAAAATTTTTAAAATGGACTATTATTTTGTAATGGATGGAGTATAAAAAGTAAAGAGATAAATATGATTCAAATAAGTTAAGAAAATTAATAAATTGACTTATAAATCACTTCTCAAAAGAAATTGTTGCGTGTAATGCAATCATTTTTAAAATATTTACACTGAAAATAATTGGCTGTTACACGTTATTTTGAAGCTCATCTCGAATATTTCAAAAGATTTACACTAAAAAGATGGTGTGTGCGCAAAAATTTGTGATGTTTAATTTGGCTTATTATTTGATTTTTTAAATTAAAAAAAGAAGAGGAGAAGTTACTATATATATATATATTTTTTTTAATGATGAAATAAGTAGGGCCTATTTGGGTAGTGTGAAATAAATTGATTTTTTTACTTATTATGCAATAGAACTTTTTTTTTTCTTAATATTTTTTTATTTTATTTTTTTGTTATTTTAAAATATTAGTTTTTTTAAAAAATTAAGAAATTAAATAGCATAAATTTACTATTTTATCCTTATTTTAAATTCATTAATAATATAAAAAGTACAATTGATATTCTTAAATAAATATATTATCAAAGAATAATTTTAAAAAATTAATATTTTTTAAATGCAACAATTGTACTATCAAAAAAAAGTTAGTAAAATTTTCAAAATGGACTATTATTTCGGAATGGATGGAGTATAAAAAGTAAAGAGGTAAATATGATTCAAATAAGTTAAAAAAATCAATAAATTGACTTATAAATCACTTCTCAAAAGAAACTGTTGCGTGTTATGTAATCAATTTTAAAATATTTACACTGAAAATAATTGGCTATTACACGCCATTTTGAGGCTCATCTCGAATATTTCAAAGGAATTACACTAAAAAGGTGGTGTGTGTCTGCCAAAATTTGTGATGTTTAATTTGGCTTATTATTTGATTTTTTAAATTAAAAAAAAAAGAGAAGTTACTATATATATATATTTTAATGATGAATTAATTAGGGCCAATTTGGGTAGTGTGAAATAAATTGATTTTTTACTTATTATGGAAATGGCGTTTTTTTTCCTTAAAATGCTAATTTTTTATTTTATTTTATTTTTATTTTAAAATATTAGTTTTTTAAAAAAATTAAAAAATTAAAAAATATAAATTTACTGTTTTATCCTTATTTTAAATTCATTAATAATATAAAATTACAATTGATATTCTTAAAAAAATATATTATCAAAGGGTAATTTTAAAAAATTAATATTTTTAAAATGCAATATTTGTACTATCAAAAAAAAGTCAGTAAATTTTTCAAAATGGACTATTATTTCGGAATGGATGGAGTATAAAAAGTAAAGAGGTAAATATGATTCAAATAAGTTAAAAAAATCAATAAATTGACTTATAAATCACTTCTCAAAAGAAATTGTTGCGTGTAATGCAATCAATTTTAAAATATTTACACTAAAAATAATTGGCTATTACACGCCATTTTGCGGCTCATCTCGAATATTTCAAAAGATTTACGAGAAAAAGGTGGTGTGTGTGCAAAAATTTGGGATGTTTAATTTGGCATATTATTTGATTTTTTATATTAAAAAAAGAAGAAGAGAAGTTGCTATATATATATATATATATATTTTAATGATGAATTAATTAGGGCCTATTTTGGTAGTGTGAAATAAATTGATTTTTTTTTTTTTTGTTACAAGAAAATCCTCCCTACTCTCCTGCAAGTTCAAGACAGCGCCCCTTTGTAGAGATCACCAAGGTGTTCTGTTAGCCGTTCCGAGCGAGGAGACTATAACCTGGGAACTTTTCCCGACATCCCAAGACAAGCTCCGCTTAAGTCAAGACTCGCACAGCGGGGGAGCATTGAACCCACACCAAGTGCTGGTTAGACAACTTGAGGTCTAACTTCCTAACCAACTGTGCTACGCCCAGGAGATTGGCCCAAGGAGGATTTGAACTCATGACCTGGGGGCTTAATCTCCATGTTCTTACCACAAGGTCACCCACCCCTGGGTTATAAATTGATTTTTTACTTATTATGAAAAAGAAGTTTTTTTTTTTTTTTCTTAAAATGCTAATTTTTTATTTTATTTTTTTATTATTTTAAAATATTAGTTTTTTAAAAAAATTAAGAAATTAAATAATATAAATGTACTATTTTATCCTTATTTTAAATTAATTAATAATATAAGATGTACGATCGATATTCTTAAAAAAATATATTATCAAAGGGTATTTTTAAAAAATTAATATTTTTAGAATGCAATAATTGTACTATAAAAAAAAGTCAGTAAATTTTTCAAAATGAACTATTATTTCGGAATGGATGGAGTACAAAAAATAAAGAGGTAAATATGATTCAAATAAGTTACAAAAATCAATAAATTGACTTATAAATCA